CTAGTCCCATTCATGGTGACCCCACTTGTGGAAAAATAACAAAAAAATCTATCACTTATAAAACTGCATGGATAAATAATTTCTGATGTGCCCCTTTGGCAACTACAGTTTAATGAGGAGGGAGATGTCCTGAGCTAATGAAAATCTATCACTTGTAAAATTATATAAACAATATCTGATATGTCCCTTTAAGGACTCTGAATTAATGAGGAAGGAAATGTCCAAGGCTAGTGTCCAGGCAAAAACGCCAGTGGATGAATGTTGCTTTTGCTTGTAGCTTACGAACAACAGTGGGCCTCTTGAGTGAATGTAATCTGTTGTCCTGGGCTCACAAATGACCAAGGATGGTGTGATTGTTACTGTCTTCTTAGTCCCGGAGATTATTGCCAATATCCCCAGACCTGGCCCCCTTGAGAATGATCTTGAGAAGACTTTGCATTCTGTCCTCTATCTTATCGTAGTTTGCAGATGCAATAACCCTTACTACCTTGTAACTTCTGGAAATAAGAAACAAGCTTGTTCCTTTGTCCCTCTACAAATAAATGCAAGGGAAAAGTCCGCCTCAGAGAGTCATTTCTCTGGTGGCTTCTCCCTCTCTTGACTCAATATTTTATGTCTCTAGTACTTCTTTCTGTGTGTTTCAAGTGACTCTCCTGCCACAGTTTGTGACTCAGAGTCACAAATGGTGACCCAGAGTCACAAGTGAACCAAGAGTCATACACAGTCTCATGACCTAAACCTCCCAAAGGCTTCACCTTCAAATCCAACTACATTGGCCATTAGGGCTTTAACATGTGAACTTGGTGGAAGGAGAGGGGACACAAACATTATGTTCATAGCAATTAAGAGAAGACTTGAATTCACAAACTTGTGAGAATTCCTGTGAAATTTAGGGAAGGAGGAATCACAATTTTTAAGTATAATATGTTCAAAAATAAGGAAAATTACAGAACTTCTAACTATAAAATGCTCCTGAAATTCTTTCCACTATGTTTCTTTTCTGGTGATGAAATCATGATTCTTTTTTTTTTTTTTGATCTTAGCTAATGGTTATCTTCATTTTTCTTTGGTGCTTCATTATAGCCACGATTCAACCTTCATGTGACATGGAAATAAGAATTGAAAATAAACACATACACACACACACACACACACACACACACACATATACACGCCTAGAAAATTTTTCCGTTAATGTAAAGAATATAAAACCTGGTGTCCTATAAACTGGATCTGGCCAATGAACTTTAGTTTTATCAGGAGAGAGGAGGTGGTCCATTTTGTATTTTAAAAATTAGGGAACCAGCAGTTAGCAAAATGGCTATGTCGCTGGACTCCCACGTAGTCGAACATGGTTCGTGTCCCAGACCCGGTGGCTTAAAACTCATGCCGGGCGCGTGTGCGTGTGTGCCCAAGATCCCGAGAGGAGAATGAAGGAGAAGGGATTGCAGTGTGACATCCCCTCTTGGGGGTGATTTCTTGCTTTCTGTCTCTGTGTCTCTCTCTGTCTGTCTGGCGAGCGCACGCGCCGTGTAGCGAAAACCTCTCAAAAAAAAAAAAAATTAGGCCTATGCCAGCAGGTAGCATGGAAGTTAAGACTGCTAGATCCCACATAGCCAAATTTGTGATTCTAGTCTTAAATCCAGCAACTTGAGCATACACTCTGCACATGTATATGCATGTCCCAAATCTCAATGGAATAGAGAAGAAGAAATTGAAGCCTGGCCATCCCCTCTTTGGGTGGTGATTTCTCATTTTCCTCCTCTCTGTGTCTCTCTCTTGAGAGCACATACACACACTCTGTGACAAAACTAAACTTAAAATAAAAATGTAGAATTATGCCTTATTTTTAAAATCACATTCAAATATGAATCAGTTCACACGTGGATTCATATTTCTAGTTTCTCCTATAAGTTTCAGTATTTGGTACCTGTTTATTCCAGAACGGAAATGATGGATAAAAGGTATAGGTGAAGGGGAAAAGTATGCATTCTTCAGTTCACTATCAGCATATTTTTTTCCAAATATTTTTTACTCATTTGTAATATGAGATTCTGTAAGATAATTTAGTATCCATAATATAAAAGGAACCATTCGGCAACATCTAAGGCATACTTGATTCTAATAGCTTGTCACCTCCCATGTCTACAAGGTATAGATGACTATCATTTAAAATGACTACCATTTAAACTTTCTTTGAAGAATAGAGAAAACAAACAAACAAACAAAACCCTCTTTTTTGCCTAACTTCAGTTGACTTTGAATTCTATTGACTAGCATAAATAATTGAATTTACTTCTCTGGGGCCAGTAGATGGCATAGCAATTATGTTGTTGGACTCCCAGATGCCTGACTACAGTTCAAGTCCTGAACCTGGTGGCTTGAAAATCATGTCATGTGCATGTGTGAATGTGTGGGGAGAGAGTGGAGGAGAAGGGATTGTAGTGTGGGCATCCCCACTCCAGGGAGTGAGTTCTCACTTTCTCTCTTACTATCTCTGTCTCTTTCTCTGTCAAGCAAGTGCACACGCCCTAAGACAAAAATCTCTTTTAAAAAAAATTACTTCGCTGACCTCAGGGAAGGTATACATATAGCATCAAATCAAGATGATAATAGGTAAATTCTTAAAGAAATGTGGCCACTACAATTTTCAGAGCGATGGTAGTGAGATAATTATTGCATGAGAAACAGTCAGACCAGAGGTGACCTCTATCTGAGACTAATTATTAGATCTCCAGGAAAAAATTTATGACAATAACAGCAAGGTGAATTCCGATATAATGATATAAAAACATGTATGACTAGTGAACAGAATTCGGGTTCAGTTCTTTATCATCAGAGTATGATGATGACCCATAATTAATAAAAGAGAATCAATTTCTCTTGAATGAAGAGGCAATCAAAGTTCTGTGAGAAGGTGCTTACTATAACATTGTATTTCTAAACCTCATCCTTGTTTTGGCCTATAAATTTTGGGGCACTTATGTATAAAAAAGGGGAACTGTCTGACTATGTTACAGACTTCTGGGTCTATACTAAGTCTAGTAATTACTTGAAATGAAGAATATCCTATTAATTTGTTTTTGTGGTAGAATTTCTTTAACTCAAGTAAATGTATCAGAATGTGATTCCTTTTTAAGTACAGCGAGAATCTACACCATTCAGGGTAAGTTTTCAGTTTGGAGTATGTAGGTTAAATGGATATACTTAGAAACTGAACTTGATGATGGAGTAAAGAAGTCAAGAAAGACTGACTAAAAATCTTCATTGTGTCTCTTTCTGTAATAAAATAGTACATTAAAAGCAAATAGTGCATCTCTGGGAAAATTGTAGTGGATGTTAAAACCTAGGGACCAGCCCTGTCATCTAGTAGTTAAGGGAGTCATATCCCACAGGGCTGACCACAGTTGGAATCCTGACCATAGTGGTATGAAAAATGTGCCAGCCACATGTATGTGCATAGCCTAAACTCCAGCAGGATAGAGATGAGGGCAAGGGACTGAGGAGTGACCATGCCCTACTGGGGTGATTTTTGCCTCTTTTTGTCTTCCTCTGGAAAGCAAATGCATCTTTTGGAAGTTAACAACAACAACAACAAATCAACCTAAAAGATGCCAGTGTGTTGAATCATATCATAACACTATTCTATGTACTGAGTTTACTTGTAGTTGCATCTTGGAGAACAATAAAGGGTTATTACAAATTTAGTGAGATAGTAAAAGCTATTTTAGGTGATATTTTAAATATAAGTATAAGGTAAATTCCAGGCAAGTGCATTTTTGTCCATTCTAATATAAAACCTAATAAAAAATAATAGCAGAAACAATTTGTTTTCATCTTATAAAATGGAGGCTTCCACCTCATAGGACAGTTTCAATGACAGGTCTATTCCAGTCAGCACTACAATTTAGTTTGTAGAAAATATGACTGTCTTATCATAATATGGTTCATTGTGAATACATTAAATTGATCATTTTATTCCTGTAGGATTCACAAAGCAAGATGTAGCAAACACCATAGATGTCTTGGGAAATGGCTTGGTAGCTAAGAGACATTTTATGGAGACACAGAGGTTATCTTTCTCTACTAATTTCTCACAGGATTAGTAGTCTGAATATGATAACAAACTATAGATTAGAAAACAGGTGGCTTTCTTTCATTTTTAACACACACAGAAAGTTTGAGAACTGTGTGTGTATGTCTTTTTTTTTAAATCAGTAAAATAATGAAAAACTGATTGGTTAATTACCCAATTTAGGGTGTAGTACAAAAGGTTTCGTCATTTGTATGCGATGATCTGCTGGCTACCATGATGCTTAAAGGATTTCGATGGCCTACTTGATAAATGAGGAGCTTGGAGTAAACCCTGACAAGCAAAGGTCACCTCTTTTGGGAAATAGCTCCTAGATGGACTCTGAAAAATACTGAAAAGCTCACCCTAGATACCAGATTACGCTGTGTCATGAGCTGATAACTTCATGGTTATTATCTAGTCACTCTAGCTCTAACTCAGGTTATAATCAAGTGGGTTGGACCACCTCAAGCAGGTCCAGACAGCAAATTAAATTGCATAACCAGATTGTTGAAATCCCCAATGTGTCCACAACTGCCACACTGCTGCTCTCTACGGCTACACCTTTGTCCTCATGGGAAATATTCTATAAACAACTGACCCCAAACTAAAGAACTTGGATTCGGTTTACAAATTCCTTTTATGATCTGCCAGCACCAGCTAGAGGTGAATATTTTTAAAAATCTTCATTAAAGTATTATTGACAATGGAATTAAAAAGTAAAGATTCATAAGATTATGTAAATATCACTAAATAGAATAATTAGAGAAGAGACAAATTTTGCCTTAAAATGTAGTTTATTGAAAAGAAGAAAAAAATCTCAGTCACTACACATTATTTAGAATAAAGGCACTTACAGAAGAAGCACTTCGAAGACTTTTTCAGAAAATTCCCATTACAGAAACTTAATAAGACTAATAACCTCTGCTTAAGTGCCCACCATACTGGCCTGACACAACTGGAATTTAGACAATAAACTCTTCAGAAAAATTTAACTTAAGAAAGAATTAATATACAGTAGATAACTCAATACGGAATTTTCCTACTCTAGCAGTCGAAGACTTCAGATAAGATGGTTTTGCATGACAGAGGAAATATTCAGAAAATGGGATTTTCAGTCATATCTGTAAATAGACATAGAAATACATGGTTAACTATGTTAAATATTTTTGAGAAGAGAAACTCATGAGAGTTGAAATACCAAAAAATAGTAAAAACACATTTTACTAATTTTTTTCTCTTCAGATTAGAACATTCCCAGTGTTTGTGCTTTCTTGTTTATAACACACATAACTGTTGCTCCTGATTTTTAAGATTTAGGACATTTTTCTAAGTAGTATTTCCTTTGTGGTATCGTAGTTTATATGGCAAGGCAGTTAGAAAAAAAGGCTACGCTGTGGATGAGGGTTTTATTATTTTCTTTCATTTGATCTATTAGAGGGTTACACCACTGGAAAAGGAATATACACACACATGCACGCGTATACACACTTACACACACACACACACATTGAGAAGCTTAAATACAGTAGGTGAAAATAACTAAAACAAATCTGTAGACTTTTCCAACTGGTAACGACAGAAAAGCTCTTGATTTCATTATATGGCTTGCTAAGGATTTCTATTGCAGTCATTAAAAGAACAGCATCCCACTATTGGGTTCACCAGTCTTAAAGTCACATCAAAAATTAGTAACATCCATACCATGCTTGCACAAGAGTTAAACTTAGTATAAAGACATTATACATTATATTAATTAAAGTTAGATGATTTTAAAGTTGCTATTTAATTACAATATGAAAATTAAAAAAATGCAAATAGAAATAGGATTAGCGGTTAGGTATAAAATTTCCAAACGTACCAATGGCCATAATTGTGGAGTTCCTAAGAATTGACTTAATTGTTCTGAAAGAAAATAATTGTTAAAATTATGTGATAAAACAACAATAAAATTGTACTAAATTAGCACCAAAAAGACTATTTACTCAGTGTCTTTTTCCCCTGCACCATACTTAACAAAGATCACTACATTTGATCATTTTCAAGGTTATAAGGAATAAACATCATTGTATTATTTCAAATAAGTGAAAAGGTCAGGATTTGAATTTAGGACTACAAGATGCATTTTTGTATTTGTCATAGATAATAACCAATAAGAAGACACTTAAATATTAGTAGAAATTAAGTGAGAAAAATGTTCAATTATACCTCAGAAATCTTGGAGATTTTTCCTTTACCCTCATTAGAATGAATTTCATTTATACAATAGATATAACACTGCTCTGTGTTACTGAGAAATAGATTAATATTAGCTACAGAGGCCAGAAAGTATTACCAATATTCAATTTCAGAAAACTCTGTGACTATGGAACTAGCAGTTAGCGTAATGGCTATGTTGCTGGACTCCCACATAGTCGACCGCAGTTCGAGTCCCAGACCCGGTGACTTAAACTCATGCCGGGCACGTGTGCGTGTGTGCCCAAGATCCCGAGAGGAGAATGGAGGAGAAGGGATTGCAGCATGGCCATCCCCCCTGGGGGGGGGGTGATTTCTTGCTTTCTGTCTCTCTGTCTCTCTCTGTCTGGCAAGCCCACGTGCCCTATAGCAAAAACCTCTCCAAAAAAATTTAAAAAGAAAAAGAAAAAAGAAAACTCTGTGACTATGTAATATGCATTGATTCGTTATGTTTACCCCAAAGCTGTTGTCATGGTATATTCTCTAAGTTATGTTCTTCAGTTCTCTTTGTTAGAACATCAATATTCAGTAATTCCAATGAACTTACCAGCCACTGTGGCATAGCAACCAGATTTTCAGTGTTCTCAGGGATAACGATTTGAGGGGTGTTTGGAGGTACTGGGTAAGGAGCAAACTGCGGGATCAGTGGGACGTTGTACCATTGGTCATTTTGATAGTCATCAATCACGTAGATTTTGCTGATAGGCTAAAGGGATGAGAAATCATAAAGCAACATTGTATGAGTAACAGGTGCTTCAAAGGTCAAAAAAATTGAATCATTTCTGAGATGACTTTTAGCATCACAAAAGATGATTGCTCTGTGAGGGACAAGAAAAAAAATCTATTTTTTTTTATGGTGAATTATACTGAAGAAACTTTTAGTGGCTTTTTAAATGTACCTGAAAAAAAGCAAATACATAATTTTTTAAGATCCCTATTCAATATTGAACTCCAGGATCATGCATGACTCACAGAGTTTAATGACCATAACCCAGAGGAAATAATAGCATGAACTTCATCATTATCTAATTTATAAATTCATGAACATTTAGCATTTAGATTGGATAGGACTTTTTTTTTTCTTTACTTTTTTGGGGGGAGGGGGCATATTTAGAAAAGAACTTTAATTTTCTTTGCAGATACTGAGATCAAAGGAGGGCCTGCACCCTGGATCAACACAGCTGACTTTCAGAAATGTCTGGAATACAAAGAAAATAATTCTTCAATTACTAGCCCAGTATTTTTTCCAAACACTAAAATTCAAGGGCATAAAGACCATTTTCCTTTCTTTACCCTTAATGGAGTGTAGTCAAGCCATAATTCCTTCTCCTTTAATTTTTTCATCCTGTTGACACACATGCACAAGTGTCAAGCATGTTTCTCAAGCTACCATGTCTGGGTTTCAAGCCATGCAGTAAGCCATATGGGATCTAGTTCCCTTAGCCCCCAAGTCATGAGGCCAGTTTAAACTGAATAATTGTCTTTATGTTTCTTTTACTTGTACCAATGAGAGTCAGTGAAGAATTTCAGGAGGAATGAGTATAAAATGTTATGCACAGTGAGGAACCACTATCATAAAATAGGTTGATAATCTCAATATTTGACTCTTAGGTAGTTTTTCTCCATTATAGTTCACATAGAGAAAATTCTATGGCTTTCTCTTTATAACATGCTTTTCAGTTTTTGAATTACCATGTCATATGTAAGTTGAACCATCAATGAGTCAGGGCTGCTAATTGAACACACAGTTACTATTTTTATATGTGAAGACACACATAAGTACTACAAACATCAGAATCTGAGTCTTGGGTGAGGGGAGAAGTTGTTTAAATATATTAATATCTATATACATGAGAAACCAAGTATCAAAGGGAATATATCAAGTTTTTCAAGGACATATGATTAGAAGATGTCAGATCTGAGATTTAAAACCCAAGTTGTGGGACCAGCAGATGGCGTAATGGTTATGTTGCTGGAATCCCACGTCGTTGATTGTGGTTTGAGTCCTGGACCCTGCAAATTAATACTCACTCTGGGCATGTATATGTGCATGCTCAAAAATCCTGGGAGGAGAATGGAGGAGAAGGGATTGTGCCATAGCCACTTTCTGTCTCTTTGGCAAGTACACATGCCCTATAGCAAAAATCTCTCAAAATAAAATAGAATGAAAAATAAATAAATAAGTAAAATCCAAGTTGTTTCCACCACCCAGGAAAAGATCCAGTTTGGAAAACATAAATGACTAGTTGGGCTTGTTTTGACTTAAAAGTTGGTCTAAAGCAATTTTCTCTCAGGAGTTGCCATAGCTTATTCTTTCATCTTTCTTTGGCCACTTAGATCTGATTTCCTACAGCAACGTTAAAACTATCACTGCAGAGTCCAACACGAGATGACAGGTAAGAAATACCATGATGTAATTACTACAAAGGTTTCTCTAAGAAAATATAGTGACTTTTTATGAACATGATTTGAAGGAGTATTAAAACACCTATACACAGATGCGCATGCATGTGGGCATACACACTGAGTTACCTGATTCACTGCCCTCGTCGGCACTTTCTGGAAAGGAAAAGAGGGTTAGTTACTTTGTGAGACTAAATGAAACTTCACAGATAGAATGGCCAACTGAAATGAAACATTTTTCATATTAGAGGTTTGGAAACCGAGGCTAATTTCCACAATTGCATTTTAATTACCTAGAGACAATTTTTCTTTTTAAGGAAAATGGGCATCTTCAACAATCTTTGTAAGATTTACTAAATGGTGAGTAGTGGTGTGAATTCATGATTGGTATGGAGCTGGCCCCACAAGAATCAGGAATTGTTATGAGAACACATAGTTCATAGTAACTGGCTATTGCATGAAAAATGAAATAAGGGAACCAGCAGATGGCACAAAGGGTTCAGTCGAGGGACTCCCATGTAGTCAACTGCGGTACAAGTCCCAGACCTAGCAGCTTAAAACTGACACTGACCGTGTGTGTGTGTATGTGTGTGTGTATGTGTGTGTGTGTTGTGTGTGCCCAAAATCCCTAGAGGAGAATGGAGGAGAAGGGTCTGCAGCATGGCCATCACCATTGAGGGGTGATCTCACTTTTCATCTCTCTGGCTCTCATGTGCCCTATAGCAAATATCTCTCTTTAAAAAAAAAAAATGAGGCAGGCTGGCAGGTGGTGCGGTGATTAAGGGCACTGGACTCCCACATGGCTGACTGTGGTTTGAGTCCCAGACCTGGCAGCTTGCTTTCTCACTTTCTCTTTCTCCCTCTGTCCTTTTCTGGTCAAATAAAACTAAGTAAAGAAATAAAACTAAATAAAATAATTTAAAAATAATGAAATTAGAAGCTTTGGGGACGCTGTAAAATAATTTGTGTGTAGAGCAGGGAAGAATCAATATCTGTTATGTATTACTAATAAACTCATTTCACAGATGCGAAAATGTACCAAGAGTCTACCGTCATTCACAAAACTTAGAATAAACTGTACTATATGCCAGAATTACCAAGAAATAGCAAACCTCTTTTTATTTGTAACTTCAGGAAAAATACTCAGCTAAAGGCTAAGCTCACTATCGTTTTAAAAATTAAGAATTTGTAAGGTGTGTGTCTGCAGAAAATAACCTATCAATTCTCTATGATGATATATTTTCTATTCATTGTTATTTATTAATCATAATTAAAATTTTAGGTTTGGTAAATTTTAAATATTACCAGAGATGAGTGGTAGGCCACTTTCTCTGTAGAGATAGTATCTGTGAAAAAAAAAAAAAAAAAAAGAAAAGAAAAAAAAAAAGAAAGGAGCACATGTTATAAAAACAAAACATGAAGAAAATATTTAAAAATGTTTTAGATTTAATAAATTATCTCATGTGAGCACATATAACTTCCTAAGGAAAAGGAAACATTTTATTTTAATATTTTAATTGTTTTCATTTATGATTAGCCAGCATTTACTAGGTAACTTAATTCACTCAGGAACCTTGTTAAATTCTGGGACATGACTATGACATGCTATGAAAACTATGAGCAAAATCAGTGTGATTCTCACATTTGCAGAGGTTACAGCCTAGACACATAATAGCCAATGTATTCAAACATATTTTTCAAGTAATTTTTTAAATCAATAATGATGAATTCTAGTGGGGTGCTGATATAATAAATTTATTTGGACTTTATTTTAGGAATAAACAACATGAAAACTAAAGCAGGTGTAACAAATGGGAATCAAATTAAATTTATTATTGGTCCATCCTGGTGGCATAGCTGGTAGCAAATGAAAGTATAATGCTTGGAAATCACGTGTCTGACCATGAGTTTGAATCTCCAGGTTAGCTTGAAAACACACCTGATGTATTGCACACGTGCCCAAGACCCTGACAAACTAAAGTACCAGAGGAGAGAGATTATGACATTACCAGATCCCGTTGAAGGTAATTCTTTCTTTCTCTCTCATACCAAGGTACACACATGCTTTATCATGAGTAAAATAAGCAACATTTAAACATTAAATTCAAATTTTCCTTGGTTATTCTGGCATTAATAACAAAAGAAAATATGAAAAAAATATAATTTTGCAAAATTAAGACAAAGCCCTTTCTCTAAAATCCTAATTAAGTCATTTTTTTCCCAGTAACTGAAAAAGAGCATTTTCTTGTCCTTTCAAGGGCAAGATAACTTTTATGATACTCAAAAGGATCAAAATTAGTGTTAAAAGAAATTGTATGAGTTTTGACAGAAATAATTTAATGAAATAAGAACCATGATAAATTACTGAATATAATGGATTATCATGGGGCAATAAGATTTGATGTAGAATGAGCAACTAAATCTCTCTCAGGTGAGAAATTATGAATATCGTATATAATTTTAGTTCTGGCATACATAGAAAGAACACTCATTGCCAGTAAATGTGTAGGCAACCAATTAAGCATTTTTTCAACTCTTACTAATGGTCAAGACTAGAATAAATAACTCTTGAGAATAATAAAAACATATTTAAAAGTAGACTCAATTTAAAAGTCTATTTAACTCTACAGTGGAATATAATTTTGTATTGTAATAAGTAAAATATTACCAACTTGAGCTGATTGTATTTGTTCAATTTATGGAACAGTTCTCATTCAAAAGAAAAAGTATTCTCAACGTCTTGGGGGAAAAAAGTTCAGCCTTATAATTTTCAGTTAATGAAGCAAAAATCCTACAGTGACCTTTTCCAGAGTAAAAGAACTACATAAGTATTTTTTCTACCATAATAATTTGGACTAATTCAACTATTTCTCTTTAAACATTAGAAAACTGACTAAACTTATTTTAGGGGCCAGCAGATAGCATAGTGGTTATGTCACTGGACTCCCACATGTTGACTACCTTCTAAGTCCCAGACCTGATGGTTTTAAAATCATGCATGGTATGTATGCATGCATGCCTAAGATCCCAGGAGGAGAATGGGATTGCTGCATGGCCATCCCATCTAGAGGGGGATTTCTCATTTTCTCTCTTACTGTTTCTGTCTCTCTCTATCTAGTAAGTGAACATGCCCTATGGCGAAAACACCAAAATAAATAAATAAATAAATAAATAAAATTATTTTAACCAAAATAAATTACAATGCAGTCAAATATAAATGAGTATCAGCAATTTTACTTATAGTATATCTTCCTATGTGAAGATTTAACTTCATCCAAATTAAATCAGATTCTGAGGAACAGGGCAAAACATTTTAAAGACTAGCTACCATTTATTGAGATGTTACTATGACCCATGGCTTGTATTAATTGATTTACATAATGAAATATTTATTATTATCATTGCAATTTTATAATTTAGTTTGTAGACTTAAGAACACATGCTAGTAAAAAGTAGAGCTTCAAGTCAAACTCAGGTTGGGCCAGAACTATCAACTGCCAATTAAATTCTATGTTCTTCAGATTCAAATGGGGACTATAAAATAAAAATATCAAATTAAAATATTTGAAGATATATATCAAGTGTATATATACACATACTTATACATCTGTATATATAACCCACATATATATTATATATATATATATATATATATAAAATGCATATTTCATACCATAGAGTAAAACACTGTTAGTCCGTCCTTTAGAGAGGAATGGGTCAACATCTATAGTCCATCAGACTACTTACTGTGGGTTAAAGTCGATCAGATATTGAGAAGGAGAAATAAATTAACAGTACAGCATTCTCACTCATTCCTTGGTATATTTGCCTTTGATAGACTTCTAATAAAATTTTACCAGATTCTGTTGGTAGAAAATGTCTTTCCTTGGAATGTGGTTCTGCTAATAATGATATCTAAATTTTTTTAACTAAATTTTATTGTTCCTGGAAAATACTACTATATTATAAATTTAGCAGCTATCCCTCACCGTAGAAGTGTTGGGAGTTTCTTCCTTGAAAAAATAAAAACAAGCACAGTTTCAGTTTTATGATATTAATTTATATTTGAGCTAAGAATACTAATCAGCCCACCGCTATTACTAAATAATTGGAGTTAACTGATTTTAGCTACAAATTCTTAAACAATTGAGATTAAATAAATAAATGGAGGCACATATTATGGTATAGATTGCTTTTTCTCTTCTCAGTACTTCCACCAGTACTTCCACTCAAAACACAACAGGCAGATTTGAAGTAATCAGTTTCATCAAATTAAAATACACCCTGATTGATTTAGTGGTTTAATTTTGATAATTTGGATAAGGATGTTCTCCCAAAGTCAAAAGAGGATCCCATCACAATACATGCTATCTTTTATCTTTAGATTAACAATGGGCAAGGGGTAAACAATATTAGATAATTCCAGTGTCTGATTAACCTAGAACTGATTGGTTTCTACACAGATTATAAAATGTTCACATCATTGATTTAGGTATAGTTATTGCTAAAAATGTTAATGTTAAGATGGGGTTTTATCAAAATCTGGAAAGGATAATGAGTAGGAAAAATAAATTTTGGACACACAAATAGTTGGCACACAAATAATTCTGTCAACTTATCTTTGACAAATCGTTGCTATTCTTGGATTGATAATCAAGTATCAAAATTAGGATTATCACATATGTCACACACATAATGCCTGGTACAATGTAACCCTCTTACTGCAGGTTTCCATAAATGTTTTCTAATTAATTGGTACACTGAAAATCATTTACCTCACTTGATGAACTGCTGCTAGATTCATTCTGCTAAAAGAGGGAATACCAGTGTTATTGACCCTTCAAGGATTTTTAGAAACTGCTGGAAATGAATTACATTTTATTAGACTGGATTGCTTACTCCCAAGAACTTAAGGATCACAATAAGTGACATGAAAAGATTTCAGAGTTACTGTAACTTATTTTCTTGGAGTGTCAATTTTACTTGAAAAATGCTGAGAGGAAAGTTTAATAATACTTAACAACTTAAAAAATGTAAAAAAAATAATTTATTAAAACAAGCAAGGTAGATCATTGAGTAGAATGCAACATTTATATGATGTTGGTGATAAAAATTTAATCTCCAAGAAAAATCATATTGATCTGCATTACCCAGAGCCCAGACATAAATTGATTCTCATCTGCCCTTGGAGATACCTTGATGTTGAAAAAACTGGAAATATTTAATAAAACAATGTAAAGATGAAACTAAAATTACATCAGTTTTTACACAGGCAACCTTTGAAATATTTATTTATTTTTCTACATCATACATGTTTGTAGTTATATAGAGAGATAATTTTTGTTTCCAAGTACAAATTATAAAAGATTTGTGTTCCCAAGTACATATTTTATAAGACTGATTTTAGTAGTCAACAGACTATTGATCTCTGGGAAGAGCTGATTAACTATATAGAATGGTTTAGTGAATTTTCTTTCCATGTTTTTGGAATAGGTAGTGTTTCCCATTGATCTTTGATATTTGCCCCAGAATTACCCTTACAATTGAAAAGAATAAGTGCATTAGAGTCTCAAGTTCTGTTATAAACATTCACGTATGTTTTCCTTTTTACTTCTTATATTAATAATGTTCTCACTGATGATTAAGTAACTTAAGTTCTTCGTATTTTAGTCTCATCTGGCATAACATTGTGCATTCTTTGGTGGAATAGTCCTGTTTTTCAATGAGTAAAACATTTGAAACTTTTATCTCTTATTTTGCTTTATGTGAAAACAGCTTTCTTAAAATGAAGCATCCTGTAATGTTATGTGTAAGTGCAGAGTTGAATAGACTGAAGGTGTCTTACCTCGAGGTCTGTCAAAATAAGTTCCTTTGTAAAAGAAAATAGAAATAATTTTATTTATTATGTCAAATAGCCATGTGCAAAATGAATAATTACCAAATAGAATAGATGCCTCCCACAAAGGAAACTGAAATAATATCCAGTGTTTAGGAAACAAAGAAAGCCAGCCTTCTTTGAGTTAAAGATTTCATTCCTAAACTGCATTTTGGAGTTTAATAAAAATAATTTTGGATTCTTCTATGTTGTGATAAATCAATGTAAATGAATTTGTGTTTTTCTTCAATCAGTGTAATTTCTTCTTCTTTTTAAATTCATCTTCTAAACATTAACTAAAATTACTGGATTAAGAATCATGTTGGTAAACTGAAGTGTGTCAAAGGAGCGCAGTGGTCCAGCACTGTATAAATTCTTAAGCAAAATGGTAATTTTTCCTTCTGGAATATTGTGCTCAATTTTAGCATTATAGCAATGCACAAAGTAGTGGCATTATCTATTGAAATTAAGTTCAAAATATTAGTGTTGATTTACTTTTCCAGATAATTCCTCCCAACATGTGATATAGCATATTTTTTTTTCTTTTCTTAAACTAGCGATATTTGTCTTCATTTTGACTTAAGATAAGTATTTGTTCATTTTAGCTAGGGTATACTTTTGTTCCTTTTCCTCATATTGGGTTTAATAGCTTTAAATCAAAGAATCTTACCTCAGTTCCTTCATTCTTGGTATTCTGTTAAGAAAAAAAAAATCAGTCAGGTATAAAAGATAGTTAAGAAGATATTAATTTTTATCTCATGAATTTTGAGCATCTGTGTGGCCTCTTAATACTAAATCTAGTTAAAAACTATTCAATAGTAGACAATTCAGATTTATATCTATATATATATATACATACACACATATATTTAAATAAGAATAATCAAGTGTGACTATGTAAAATGTTGTTAAGACAGATATATTGCTTTATGTAATACCTTTGATAAGGCATTTCTTCAGCTTTGGTAATACGTATAGACAATTGGCAGGTATACAACTACATTTACTTATTTGTTAATTTGTTCATTCATTTATTCTTCTATGCTAATTCCTTTGTCTCATCATAGCTAAAAGTGAAGTCAACAAAATCAGTAGTCTTTGGAATTCTCAGTGGAATTCATTAGCGATTTGAATATGTGACCGAAAATTTCAAAGAAATGTTAATAAATGCCGTAGAAAAAATATTCTTTACTAAGTGAAAAATTTTTTATATTCCAATAATAATTTTTTTTTTTGGAGAGGTTTTTGCTATGGGTGTGTGTGCTCGCCAGAAAGAGACAGAGAGACAGAAAGAGAGAAATTACCTCCCAGGGGGGATGCCACGCCACAATCCCTTCTCCATTCTCCTCTTGGGATCTTGGGCACGCACGCACACGTGCCCGGTGTGAGTTTTAAGCCACCGGGTCCAGGACGCGAACCGCGGTCGACTACGTGGGAGTCCAGCGACATAGCCATTACACTAACTGCTGGTCCCTCCAAGAATAAATATCTTTTGCTACACTATTTTTTTTTTAATTTGGAACTTTGATTTTGTCACTTTCTTTTACTCTCAGAAGTTCATTCAGTTAAAAATCAGTCAATAAATAAAGAATAAATAAGACTTACCTCCAAAATTTCTGAAAGATTTTCTTCACTGATAATTTCCTATTGAAATTAAGTTGTGAATTATAAAAATAGGAACTGCACCAAAAAATGAACTTTTAAAAATTTGAACATAGTCTCTCTATTCAATTAGGCAAATTTGAAAACTTAGGTAGAAAAAAATAATTAGTTTTAGTTTAATTATTTAATTTAATAATCTAGTTTTGATACACTATTCACCAGGCCTAGAAATTTATTTAGTAAATCCACACTTACTAAAGTGTCTAAAGAAGAAATTGAATAGGAATGTTATTAAAACAGAATTAAGTGAGTAATCCAGATCCTTGAGTACTTGAATAGGTAAATAAAAATTTGAGTGAAGAAGACAGTCAACTTTCATGATTCTTAGTTAAAAGATAGAAAAGAGGTGAGGTTTCTGGGAAAAGAGAATATTTATTCCCTGTAAAGATAGCTTATCTTACTGTGTTTTAGTTGATCCTGCAAAGAATAATAATAATAAAGTGGCATTAATTCAGTCACTAGACAGAGTGGGATGTGTAGATGGGTGTGCAGAGATAACTAAGAGTGGGATGTGTAGATGGGTGTGGTAGAGATAGCTAAGTCAAGATAAAGTGTGTAAAATAAGACCAAATTATAGTACACATCCTTGAGAGAATATAAGAGTTTAAAAATAAAGAAGAATATGTCAAAATAGACCATGTCAATATATTCTGATTAATTAGCTATTTATCTTGAACAAAATAAGACTTTTATTTACTAATATTTATTTAAGTCCATGTTCATTCCCTCAAGAAGTTTTGTGATAGTAAATAATATCTGTCAGTACTTGAATTGAAGCAATTATGATCTTAATACTTCCCTCAGTTAGCCATACAGTGAAGAATATTCTTACCTGTCTCCATTCTATTGGCACTGGTACTGCCTGCCACAGATAAATAAATGAATAAATAAATTAATTAAAAAAATAAATATCAGTTAAAATTCATTCACCAGCAGATGGTTAATGGTTACAACATTGGTGAATGCCAAACAGGCTGTTTTCCAGAGAAGGAGGTGACAGATTTTGAGTCTAGGCACTCTCGATATACAGTCATGTAAATTCCACAATTAAAACAAGTTTTTGAAATATGGAATATAATACTTACTTGAATGAGTTCTTTTAAATTTAAAACCCTCTGTGGAAGAAAAATGGAAAAATTGTAAACTCCCCCCAAAATAAAAAACAAAAAGCAAAGCAATCAAAATGACAATAACAAAACTTATTTAGAATACACATGTAATAATATAAATTTACCATTTCTGTTTAAGAAAGATGTATAATATAATAGCAAAATTTATCAGAGATCAAGTTTCTTAGAAAGAAAAAAGGAAAAAATTATAATTATTTACTGAAAAATATCCAGATAAATTATGTTTTTTTTTTTTCTTTAGAATGTGGCAAAGAATAGGAAAAAAACTATGTAAAATGTCTTTTAAAAATAGCAATTTTGGGACCAGCAGTTATCATAATAGCTATGTTGCTGGACTCCCATGTAGTCGACCACGGTTTGAGTCCTGGAGCCGGTGGCTTAAAGCTCACACCGGGCAGATGTGCATGTGTGCCCAAGATCCAAAGAGGAGAATGGAGGAGAAGGGATTGCGGTGTGGCCATCCCCCCTGGAGGGTGATTTCTGGCTTTCTGGCTCTCTCTGTCCATCTGGTGAGCGCACACGCCCTATAGCAAAAACTTATAAAAAAAAAAAAAGCAATTTCTACTTTACATGAATTGAATTATCTCAGAATAGTAAATAATTGACTTAGTTTTCTGAATTATTTACATTACATTTTAATCCTACATATAATTTTAAACCATTATAAAATTTTGGGGACAAATGAATACTTTCCTAATGATTCTGCATTACCTAAAGGAGGATTTACAGAATGAATCTCATCTATGCAAACAGCAATATCTCAAGATTTTATTTGCTGCTGTTTGTGATATTTTAGTGTCCAAATATCCCAGATAATCTCTTTATTTGTAATTTTTTCTAGTCAAGTGATATCTGTTTATTCATCTCACATTCATAGCAAAACATCACAAATGAACAAAGAACATTTTGCTTCATTTAACTATCCAGATAAATATAAACTCTATTTTTGAGGAGAAAGGTTATTTTTTTAATTAGGTTTTTGCCATAGAAAGCATGTGCCCACCTGAGAGACAAGATTGGGAAAGTAAGAAATCACCATCCCCAGGGGGGATAGTCACACAATCCCTTCTCCATTCTCCTCTCAGGTTTCTTGACATACATGCACAAATGCCTGACAAATTCTCAAGCCACCAGTGCTGGGACTCAAATTGTGGTTGGCAATGTGAGAGTTCAGTGCCTTAACCACCATGGCACCTGCTGGTCCCAACAAGAAAGGTTATTTTTTCATTTATGTTATCTGCTTTCAAAAACTAGGGAATATAATAACTTGATCTCTAAATCTGTAGTATCAGCAGAATTTCTATTCCTTGGGGGAAAATAGCAGGCTGATACAAGCCATCTTAAATGAGCATTTGATTTAGGCTCCAAAAGTAGAATACACTGCAACATGTGACTTTATGTTCTAATTAGTAACAAAATATCAAATGCTTATCATGTATCTAGAAACTTGCTAATTCTGTAGTGTATCCAAAGAATGAGTGCAATCACATTGCTTGATGCTCTTTACTATGTTCTACAATTCCATATTTCTTCATTTTCTTTTTAATTCTTAACTTTTCTTTATTGTGAGGTGATTATATTTCATCATTTTATTCATTGTTCTGGCTTTGAAATGACTACATAATGACCATCAAATAGCACAGCATCACCACATTTCTAATGTCAAGGCTTTCGTGCTAAATTAGAAGTCATTCAATGCCTCCACATACTATGCTCAGTGTCCTGTGTTTGATGAATTATATGGTCATTTCTAGCACTACTCTAGAGTGTTCTAAATGTTCTGCTGTACTTACAGATTTGGCAAGAGCAACAGCCACAAGGCAGGTGAGAATGAGGAGCTTCATCTTTGTCAAGGCCTACATAAGAAGATTTTTAAAAATAACAAAATGGTTTATTACAGTAAAATTTATTACATAAAAAGTTCTTAACTTTTCAACAGTTACGATAAAAAGTATGTTCATTGGAAAAGCACTATTTTTATAAATTTAAGAGTTTAAATTTTGCTACTCAATATAAAGGCTTATCATTCTACTTCCCTTTCTTGTTTCATTTTTTTTTTCCCTTTAATTTTGCCAGAGAGACCATGTGCTTGCTGGGGAGGTGAAGTGGAAGTGAGAAAGCACTCCCCATGGGAAAAGTCACACCTTAATTCCCCCTCCATTTCTCCTCGTTTTGGAATTTGGGGCATACACACATAATCCAAAATTAATTTATTATCTATCCATTTGTATCCTTCCAAATTACAATGTTTAAACATCTTACAAAACTAGCCATCTATATCTCATTGTATATCATTTATATACATGATACAGAATTAATTTTATTGGCTAAATGATATGGAATATAAAGAGCTTTGCAGTGTTCTTCTAGAAAAGGTCTTCGCTATGGTAATTACAAAGACCAGAAAATTACGTAACAACTTTACACAGACTTGAACAAAAATAATTCACATTACCTCACCCTAAGTTGATATTGAAATTATGTATCTACTTTTTTAATATTTGAGATTTTAGTTATGAAATTATCAAAAATGATTTGGTCCTTATAAAACTATATTAATTTCTTACTTAAATCTCTGAGATGATATAAAAATTTGCAAATGTATTTTTAAGTTACCAGTATATTGCAAGAAGAAATCACTATTTGCAAACATACAGAATAATTACAAATAAATCTTAAAAGAGTAGAAGAAAAAGACTAGATGATATGAAAGCATAGTAATATTGCTGTCTCTTAAAACCATACCTTGCACCCAAGACTGGAAGAAGCACACTGGGTTGATGATCAAGATAATGGCTAATCACTTCATTTGACAGCTATTTAAACCTGATAATTGGAAAAAATGCTAATTTTGTGGTTTCAGTTCAACCAATGGATGTATTTAAGTTCTAAGAATCATCCCAAATAGGAAATAAAATTTCTGACTAATTTTTCTCCCAGGAAATCTCAGGAGAAGTTTCAACAGGAAAATGATTCATGCTATGATAACAGATTATACAGGAGTTGTATTATTCAAAATTAAATTTTTAAATTTCCATATTTATGGTTATTATGAGAATATTATTTAAGGCAGAATAGACTGTTGAAAAGACTAAAATATCAATAAAATTCCCATGATAGATTTTTGACAAATATCTCCATAAAGAAATTCCTTGGGACAAAAGGAGGGGCTCAGGGAAGAAACATTAACAGACACAAGAATGTAAAGTTCTTTATTGAAAATGATGCATATGGTAATACCCTTAATTTGACTGCTATGCATTGCATGCATAGTTCGAAAACCATATTGTGCTCTATAGAGATATACAATGATTAAATGTAAATAAGATATCATGAAGTGTAAATGTAAATAAGAAATCATAAAATTTAAAAATTTTAAAATAAATTAAAATACAAAATGATAATTTAGAGTGGTTTAGCCTATCTACACTGGGAGTCAGAAGAGGTTGTGTTCTTCTACATTAAAGTTCTCTTTAGGTGGTATCATCCTTGGTATTTTCCTTCCTGTGTCACACTGATTTTAATAACTTACCAGTGTTCTCTATTTACTCCGATACATTCAAAGAGCTGAGGACAGGCATGATCGGCTGCATCCTAATACCTAACTTGCTTTGGTCTTTTCCCAGAACTGTACCCAAGATGACTGACTTATTTCACTCAAAACTCAGACTTATACTATATAAAAATCTACTGTGATTTGTGAAAAGTTTATGTATCATCATTTGTTTATTCGCTCTTTTATTCATTTGTTTATCCAGAGAGATGAAGAAACTAGACAAAATATTGGAGATAAAAATTGAGCAAGACAAAATTCCTGTCCCCATAATATGGTGGTTAATTTTTTAAAGGATTATTTTATTTAACTTTCTTTCTTCCTTTCTTCCTTTCTTTCTTTCTTTCTCTCTTTCTTTCTTTCTTTCTTTCTCTCTTTCTTTCTTTCTTTCTTTCTCTCTTTCTTTCTTTCTTTCTTTCTCTCTTTCTTTCTTTCTTTCTTTCTCTCTTTCTTTCTTTCTTTCTTTCTCTTGTTCTTTCTTTCTTTTTTTTCTTTCTTCCTTTCTCTTTTTCTTTCTTTCTTTTTTTTCTTTCTTCCCACCCCTCTCTCTCCCTTTCTTCTTTCTTTCTTTCTTTCTTTCTTTCTTTCTTTCTCTCTTTCTTTCTTTCTTTCTTTCTTCTTTCTTTCTTTCTTTCTTTCTTTCTTTCTTTCTTTCTTTCTTCTTTCTTTCTTTCTTTCTTCCTTTCTTTCTTAAATTTGACCAGACAGGGACAGAATGAGAGAAAGAGAGATAAAGGAGAGTAAGAGAGCAAGCTGTCAGGTCTGGGACTTGAACCATGGTCGACTATGTGAGAGTCCAGCAACCTTAACCACAATCTACTTGCCGATCCCAATATGGTGGTTAATTAACAAGAAAAAGTGAAAAATTAAATAGATTACAGTTAGATCAGAAATAGAAATTTGAAGTCTCTGAAATACCTATGGACTACTGAGACTGAGAGTCATACCAGAGAAGGTCTACTAGATGGATTTGGTAATAGTAAGTCTTGACATCAAATGAGAACATTCAGTGTTGGTCTTAAGGGTTAGCAGATGTTGGTTAACTGATACAAAACTACAGTTAGCTAAGGAACAAGTTCTAGTGCCTTAGTATAGAGGAGTAACTATAGTTAACAATAATTTAGCGTATATATCAAAAAATCAAGAGAGGATTTTGAATTTTCCCAACATGGGGAAACTGGGAATTTTCCCAAAGTATGGGGACCAGTAGATGGTGTAATGGGTGTGTTGCTGGACTTCCACGGGGCCAACCGTGGTTTCAGTCCCAGACCCAGAGGCTTGTAACACACCATGCATGCGTGTGTGAGTACCCCAAATCCCAAGAGAAGAATGGAGGAGAAGGGATTGTAGCATGACCACGACCCCTGGAGGGTGATTTCTTGCTTTCTATCTCTCTGTTTCTCCAGCAAGGGCACACACCCTATAGAAAAAAAGGAATGTTTGAATAATGAATATGTTAATTACCCCAATTTGAACATTACACATTGCACTCAGTATAATGAAAAATTAATCTATACACCATAAGTATAGATAATTTTTTAATTATTTTTAATTAAAAAATTTTTAAAGTGTCTATATCATAAGACAAAACCACTTCTTAGTGAATTTATATAGCTCCTCTGAGAATTCTCACAAACTGAAAAAAAGTCCCTGTTTTTCTATCAATAATCCCCTAGAGAAAAGAGTATGTCTCCATTCTGTCTGAATTAGGAATTGAAACAGATTAATTAGTTTGTCTGGTTTTTAAAGTCAGTTAGTTTTATCATTGCCCAATATAACTGTTTGCTATACCTTGAAAACATATAATTAATCATCCAATATCGAACACTTCTATTAATGAAAGCATTGGTTCTTAATCTTATCATAAAACAACAGACATAAACTAGGACTATTCCAGACATAGCAGGACATGAACATTTGAGTCATATGATACCACTGCTTTTGAAAACCCAGCAGAATCCTTTATCAAATGGAATTAGAAATAGGTGAAATAAAGGGCAACTGAGTAGAAAGCTTCCCTGTTTTCTAGCTTTTAGATAGTGGACAAATTATTTGTCCACTATCCATGCTCATTAGAAAATTAATTACTAAAAATTAATTAGTACAAAAGTGAAGGACAACTCCATTAGCAGAGTTCTGTATATTATTGCTCCATATTCTGCTTCTGCTTTGGGGCTCATTTTGGACAAAGTAGTCAATAATTCAGAGCAGGAAATTCCAAAGGTAAATTTGTCAAAGGCCTCCCAGGACATTCAGTTACAGATTGATGAGTCTTCTAGGAAATATCTTTTTATTATGCAACAAATAGCTAAACTTCAAGAAGGAAGTTACTGAGACATGTGAAAGATATTTTTGTTTTTACTCTAGACACCAACATGTAATTTGGAAACTAAAAGAGGTTTTCCAAGGATACTTAGTAACTGCTCTTGTGTATTGTATAACTGCACTCAGAAACTGAAATAGAGTTCGTTTGGGTTATTTTCAAGTTTTTGTCTAGTATAAATAAAGAATACCACTTGTATGTAGAAAATGTGCTTAATTTTAATTTTACATGTAGACTAATGTCCTTTTAAAATCTATGATGCTTGATCAATAGGTCTCTGGAGATCTAAAATGAAGCGTAAAATCTAACTATGATGGTATCTTGCACTAGCTGTTGGGCAAGGCTTGAGTCAAACCATAAATTTAAACACTGGCTATCATTGACTAACTGTTTATATAGCTAGTTATAGAGTATCTTGGGTAAATTTCTGTGCCTTAGTGTTCCCATGTGTTCAATAACATCCACTTCCTAAGTGATTAGAAGGAAAACATCAGAACACACAACTAGAAGTGTACCTGAATCAAAATAAGTACAAATTTCAGATGATTTATGATTAGAACAAGGTTTTAAAACTAAGCCATTTTGTGTCCAGATTATCTTCTGACTTCATGGATTTGGAAACTTTGGAGAATTCATAAATTATGCTTTATATCTATATGTATATGGAAAATGTGAGGAAAGATAAAGACAAAATTTCCAGTTTAGACCAACATTAAAATATGTTTGGGATGGGATATTAGAGGGGAGTAGAAAGAAGAATTTTAAGTGCTTAATGAACTCCTGCACTATTTAATATTTCCACATAATACCAAATGAAGCAGTTCATCTCAAACAGTAATGCACTTAAAAGTCACCATCTTGTTAAAATGCACATTTAGATTCAGTAGATCTTGAATGCATCTTGAGATTCTGCCATTTGAGCACATGCTCTAGTGAGGATTGCTGGTTATCTTCGAGACATGCTTTGAGTAGTAAGAAACTAGGAGATTGATAATGTAATATGTAATCTTCTTTAAACTTTCCTAGTAATGATAGTATCTATGTAAAATACCATTAAAAAATGCAAAAGCATATGAAAGTTGTAGAACCATGCATCACATATGGCAAAAATTGATGTTTGAAAATGCTGAGTCATTGGTCTGACCACTGTGGTGCTGCTCAGTGGCTAGGGCTACATAAGAAGCTTAGGTTAGGTTATCAGACCAGTCTGAACAGGCTTGGGTGCAGAGGCATGCTCTGTGGTTCTAGGAGCTAGGAGGCTGAGGCAAGAGGATTGTGAAATGGTGAAATTCTCTCAAAATTATCTCTCTCCCACTTCACTCCTCTGCCTTTTCTTTCTCTTTTTTTAAAAAAATTGATTGTTGAAATGTTTCATGAAATTATTGACTTTCATGACAATGTCTTTTCTTGAGAGAGTTTTACAATAGGGCAGATGTGCTCACAGGAGAGTCATTGGGTATCAGCTAACAAGTAAACAGTGACCTGGGTATCCTGCCATCAGTTTGTGCTGTTTCAGAGCTACCATATTACTACTCAACATTTTGTTCCATGAGGACACTTATCATATCGTATCTTTAAATGTTTATTGGAGAAAAAAAAATCCTAGCAAATAGGGGAATGCTTAACATGCCCATAAGATGTTTTTAAGCCATCAAAGAAAGGTATAAGAGGAAGAAGAATTAATAAAATAAAAAATGCCTCTTGAAGAACAGCAAGTGGCATGGTAATTAAGGCCCTGGACTCCTACATGGTCAACAGCAGTTTGCGTCCTGGACCTGGTGGCTTGCTTTCTCACATTTTTTTCTCTGTTTCTGTCTCTCTCTGGTGAGTACACATGCCTATAGAAAAATTAAATAATAATAAAATTAAATAAATTATTTTTTTTAAATGCCCTGGATTGGTAATGACGAAGTTCATGTCTCTGCAAGTGTATGAACTTTTGGGCTGGCAGGTGGTGTGGTGGTTAAGGTGCTAGACTCCCATATGGGTGACTGTAGTTTGAGTCCTGAACTTGGTGGCTTGCTTTCTCACTCTCCCTCTCTCTAGGTCTCTGTCTCTCTCTGGTCAAATTGAATAATAATAAAATAAATAAATAAATATTGAAAAAGTAAATGTGTGGACTTTCAGATATGTATTCTCCTAAATCCACCATTGTCTAACCACACTCTTCTGATCCATTTTTCCTTTTAAGCTATAACATCAATAGTAATATTTCTTCTTTAGTTAACTAAACTATAGTAGCTAGTTAGAGAATTTGGGAGCCATATGGAAGTACTGAAGTATCTAAAAGCAAATATTTAAGCAAAAATGGTATTTCAGGATTGAAACATTTTGAAGATAAGGTGGATCTTGGTAATGGCCATAAGAGGCTAGCGAAGTAGGTGAAAGTTGTTTCAGTAAAAGGTCAGGAGATTGTGTAGACCTTTGTAGATAGGAGGATAGCCCAAGTTCTTGACAAACCTGCAGATGGGATGGAGAAGAAATCTCTGAACCGGGATCCCAGTTGAGACCCTGAAGGTTGTAAATACAGTAATGAGACCAGAACAAAAGCCTCATTATGAAATGACAGAAGCTACAAGGCAGGGAGGCCACTTGAATAAAGCCTCTGTGAAGGTCATCAGGAAGTGGTAGTAGATGTGAAATGACAATTCCTTTCTGTCCTCTGACCTCCAGACAGAGGTGACAACAGAGAAGGAGCATCTTCTCCCACTTGCGATGGTTATGAAATGGAGTGGTTTTATCTGGGGAGATTCAAATTTGGCCTTTCTTAGATGTAAAGGGGTTATGCCTGATATAACTGAATTGTTACGGACACTAAAAGGGGCTGTATGGAGGCTGTGGAACTGAAATGTTTCAGCAAAAGGATACCATAGAGATGAATTGGAAAGAGGAGCTAACAGGCCAGAACTCTCTTGAGTTTGTCAGATCATTAAAAAAACACAGAAATGAAGGATGTAGTTTAGTAGAAAGATTTTCACAGAAGCACATAAAAGTCTACGAAGAAATTTAACAAAACAAATAAACCCCAAGTTGCAATGATTTGCCCTATGATTTTTCAAGTCCAAGATGGTACAAAAGTGATAGGCACTCGGTAAAAGCCATACAGTGAGTACCGATACAAGTATCCTTTCTTTTTCACTCTTAGTATTCAATAAATTGCATGAGATATTCAATACTTTATCACAAAATAGGCTTTTTATTAGGTAATTTTGCCTAATTGTAGGCTACTGTAATTATTCTGAATACGTTTAAGGTAGGCTACACTAAACCATGATTTTTAGTAAGTTAAGACTATTAAATGCATTTCTGACTTGGGATATTTCAATTTACAAAGTGTTTATTTAATAGACATGACAATGAAAAGTTATCTGCTGATGATAATATATATGGTAATGTCTTTGACTTGACTAATATGTACTATATTAATACTGGGGAAAACCATCTTTTACACTGTAACAATATATGGTGATTAAATGTAAATTTTAAAAATAAATTTAAAGGGAACCAGCAGTTAGCGTAATAGCTATGTCACTGGACTCCCACGTAGTCGACCGTGGTTCACGTCCCGGACCTGGTGGCTTAAAACTCACGCCAGGCATGTGTGCATGCGTGCCCAAGATCCCGAGAGGAGAATGCAGGAGAAGGGATTGCAGCGTGACCATCCCCCCTGGGGGGTGATTTCTCGCTTTCTGTCTCTATGTCTCTCTCTGTCTGTCTGGCGAGCGCACGCACCCTATAGCGAAAAACCTCTCAAAAAAAAAAAAAAAAAAAAAGAAAAGAAATTTAAAAATAATTATTTTGAATTCTTTGTAATTCAAGGATCTGCATTTCTTTAGAGACTATAATAGAAAAATTATTGTGTTCTCTTGTAGATATCATGTTTCCTTGTTTTTTTTTATAGCTTTGCATTGATATTTATGCATTTAATAATTACATCTTCCAGACTTGATAGACTATTTTTGGTAAGAATTACCTTCTCTTTTGAATGAGAGCTAGAACATTGGCTGGGTGGAATTCGACAGTTTCTATTCTGGGGAGTCCTAGTAGTGTAGTCTCCACTCAGCTCCATTAGCTAAAGTCAACATCAGTGAAGATCTCAGGGGCCCTCACCTGCCATGACTGTAGGTGTCTCCAAAAGCATCAAAGACATCTGGGGTCTTGAATAATCAAGTCTGCTCTAGACATTCTGACCTCCTGATCACAGTATTTACTAGGGATGAGGAGATCCACTTTGGTGCTGGGTCTGTCTCACGGTGGTAGTGACACTGGTGTCTGATACATGGGTATTCATTAAGCGACCACAGAGCTGTGTTCTTTAGTGCAGCCACCATGGAGTGACCTTGACTCCAGGGAGCAGGGTGCTAGCTAACCTCAACCAGCAGTGGCTCCAGTGCTTGAGATATAAGCATGTACAGATCAGCTGTAGAGCCAAGGGTTAGAACTTGTGAAGGTAGAGTAGCCATAGTTCTGGGGTTCAGAGTGACACGGCATTGTTGAAACTGGCAGCTGTGATCCAGGATCCAGGGCAGTACAAAAGTACTTTGGAGGTTGAGGAGGTGCCATAGGATCTCCATCTACAGGGTGTCCATGATGGCAATGACTGTTGGTTACCTCCCTGGTGAATGTTTCTATTAGAGCAGGCCACTGGGGTCAGCTCCAACAATCACTAAGAGATCCTCTTTTGTGATGGCTGGGGGTAGTCTGTCACAGCGACTATTGAGGTCCCCAGTATAGAAGGCTGTTGAGATTCTCTACAGAGCAAGCCACTGAGGACCGTAGTAACACCCACTGAATAGCTGACACAGATGGTTCCTGCCCTTCTCATTTGTCCCTGACCACCTCCATACATCCCTGCTAGTTGCCTTTTTTTATTCCATTGTGTTGTTGTACGTCTTAATTGGACTCTTGAGCCCAGTTTGGTTAATGGTTTTGTTCAAGTATTTTATATTGTACTTGTTTATATCTCATTATTACATCAATTACTGAGAAAGAGGTGTTGAAATATCCAAATATTACTCTTAGTTTTTTCTATATTTTCTTGTGCTTACATCAATCTTTATTTGATGTAGTTTGGAGCTCTGTTATTAAAATGTAAAGTGTAAATCAATCTTAAAAAAAGTTTACATACAATGTAATCTCACTTTAAAGTGAGAAGCCTCTGTAAAAACTATTCCATGATTTGATTTTTTTAAATAGCTGACAAGTAAAATATGGAAAAAGTTCAAAAGTACAGACAGCATATTGTTGGATGAACTGGCCAGGAATTTGAGGAGACTATGACAATTAATATTTGAATAAGATTTGCAAATGTTGAGAAGTGAGAGGAGAGGCCCACAGTAAGTGTGTAGAGAAATAAAATTTAAACTCTAAAATAATTTGGTTGGAGAAATATACCTACAAATAAATAAATTTTATCTTTCATAAGCTGTTACAGTTGTTGAGGAACATGGGCACTTGGATGTTGCAAAAAGGGAATATTAGTCTCCATATAAAAATATTGTAAAAGGAGTCTTGAGAAGAAGGATGTAAGTTGAAGAAATGAGGGAGGGACCAGCAGTTAGCGTAGTGGCTATGTCGCTGGACTCCCACGTAGTCAACCATGGTTCAAGTCCCAGACCTGGTGGCTTAAAACTCACGCCAGGAGCATGTGCGTGCGTGCCCGAGATCTCGAGAGGAGAATGGAGGAGAAGGGATTGCGGCATGGTCATCTCCCCTGGGGGATGATTTCTCGCTTTCTGTCTCTCTGTCTCTGTCTGTCTGGGGAGTGCATGTGCCCTATAGGGAAAGATGTAGTTTGGAGCTCTGTTATTAAAATGTAAAGTGTAAATCAATCTTAAAAAAAGTTTACATACAATGTAATCTCACTTTAAAGTGAGAAGCCTCTGTAAAAACTATTCCATGATTTGATTTTTTTAAATAGCTGACAAGTAAAATATGGAAAAAGTTCAAAAGTACAGACAGCATATTGTTGGATGAACTGGCCAGGAATTTGAGGAGACTATGACAATTAATATTTGAATAAGATTTGCAAATGTTGAGAAGTGAGAGGAGAGGCCCACAGTAAGTGTGTAGAGAAATAAAATTTAAACTCTAAAATAATTTGGTTGGAGAAATATACCTACAAATAAATAAATTTTATCTTTCATAAGCTGTTACAGTTGTTGAGGAACATGGGCACTTGGATGTTGCAAAAAGGGAATATTAGTCTCCATATAAAAATATTGTAAAAGGAGTCTTGAGAAGAAGGATGTAAGTTGAAGAAATGAGGGAGGGACCAGCAGTTAGCGTAGTGGCTATGTCGCTGGACTCCCACGTAGTCAACCATGGTTCAAGTCCCAGACCTGGTGGCTTAAAACTCACGCCAGGAGCATGTGCGTGCGTGCCCGAGATCTCGAGAGGAGAATGGAGGAGAAGGGATTGCGGCATGGTCATCTCCCCTGGGGGATGATTTCTCGCTTTCTGTCTCTCTGTCTCTGTCTGTCTGGGGAGTGCATGTGCCCTATAGGGAAAACCTCTCCAAAAAAAAAGATTAAAAAAAAAAGAAATGAGGGAAGAGAGAGGGGATTACATGCAAAGGTAGGGAGGTATGTTAATAGCAGTGATTTGAAGTGAATGTACCATAGTGCTAATTAGAGAAATGGTAAATGACGAAGTTGGAAAGAGAGAAGGTAGTAGAAGATGGAAGCCCATACAGTACAGAAAGGAATTCAAGCCTGACCTTGAGAAGTTGAAATTCTCCTTTTTTATGAGGAAGGTAAAACACTGAAAAGTTGGCCCTGTCTCCTTGGGCCTTGTGGTGAAGCTCCACAATGCTCTTTACCTCCCCTCACCTCTTCTAACCCTAGCTCTTTCCTGAATATCATAACTTCCTCTTGTTTTCAATTATCATGGTCATGGATTGTTGCAACCCAAGTACTTTGGGGAACTTCCTCTTCCTCTGCCTCGAAGCTCTCTAAGAAGGATGTAGAGGGTAGATCTCTTCCTTAGTTCACATGCCATGTTTCTGGCCTTGTTTCACTTGTTTCCAAGTACTCATCTGAGGGAACAAGGAAGGGTTTTGCTACAATATATTGTTTTTCAACAACCCTCTAATGCAAGTAGCTTTTTCCAAGGACAGTAAGAATGGACATTTATTGAGCACTTATAATGGACCAGGTACTGTGGCATTATGTTAGCACTTCAAAGATATTCTCATTATAAAGATTGTCTCATGACAACCAAAGTAAATATTATTACTGCTTCCACTTTACACATGAAGACACTAAAGTTTATAGTAATTAACTCCCCCACGCTGATGTGTAAATGGCTAAGCTAAAATTTGTAGCAAGCAGTGTAATTTTGCTTTATAAAAATTTTTAAAAAATCAGTTACAAGTTGAGAATGATTAAGACATAGTGTATTTGTCAGCCTTATTATAACACATATGCAGAATAGAACACAGTGAGAGGTTTTAGAAGTTGCTAGATTGTGCAGTTTCAGAATCTGGTACGGTCTATGGGCTACATTATCTCAGCTGAATAAAATTCTAATTCTTTAGCTAATAAAGATACATCAGCAATTGGTCTATGGATGCTACATTATTGTTAAATGAATGAACAAATACATGAATAGAAGGCCAACTAAAATATCGAGATCACAGTCTCTGGGAATAGAATGCTAAGGAAAAAAGAATGTCTGTGATAACCTTGACTCTGCTTATAGACAGCCTATGTACTCATACTGGGTTAGTTAAATTGAGTAGTCATGAAAATATTCTGGCTTTAATTCTATAATAGCAATAGAGTTTTACATTATATTATCACAGCAAATAGAATTATGCTGTGTAATAGTCATATAATACAGCAATAAAATCATGTTGTACAAGCAGAGAGTAAATGAAAGGTTAGTACCATACAGTGAATATCAAGGAGTGGGATTACTGTATTTTTTTAACTATTAAAACAAAGTGTTCTGGCAAATATTACAGATATTACTGATTCTTCTTGCAGAAAGAATATCCATAAACTGACATAATAGCAAACATTGATATTGATCATGCTTTTCTCAGATGAACTCAGTGACCTACCAGGAACACCTAGGCATTAGATTCATGTTGTCAAGTTTTACCCCATTAGGAAATGAAGACTCCTCCCAATTAAAACTGTGATTTATTTCATTTTTAGAAAGATATAAAATGGTTCATAATTTTTGCAGTTGTTTAAAAATGGGAAGTCTTGTGGGCATGTATGGCTATCTGACTAGCAGGCTCCTCCTACCTTCCTCATACAAGAAACAAAGGCAAGAAATTTAACTGCTGTAACATCAAATATTAATGACGTACATATTAGTCAGGTTATTGACTTGGTGAATTGAGCTAGGAGTGATAGGAAAAACTTCCAAATTAAAATGAAGAAATAAATACATAGATAATTATATTTGTAAAGAGATATAGGAAATGGTAGGGTCAAGACCAGTGACATGTGTAAAGCACACAGTTTTAGATAGATAATTTAGCAATATCTAAATTTAAAACAAGAAAGATGATGTCTTGTTAGAGACTTCAGGAATATGGATAATGAATTTTTATGACTCATATACCATAATTTAACTTCTTTTTTTTTTTTTTTCCTGCAGTGGACTTCCCCTTCTGAGATCATTAAGTGATCAGAAATGATCAAAAACTCTACAACTTTGTATAATGATATTTTGGGCTTGGAGGAAGGCTTGTGTTCATGCTTGAAAGAAAATAGAGCAGGAAGATGATTTCAATATAAAGACATTTTTATGCCAGGAGCAACAGTTTCAAATGATTGAAAAATGTTTGGAAATCTTCAGCAATAGTCTAGAGAGGTTTTGATTTCCTGTGGTATATAAAGCCAATGATACATAAACAGGAAATGTCCTTTACTGCTATTCTAAAACCAAACAAATATTATTCCAAAAATACAAACTTCATTCCAGAACTTAAATAAATTTTTAAAAATGATATCCTTTAAAGTATGAGTTCATGTGATTAAATCTATTCTTCTAGAAAACCAATAAAGAGGTTTTCAACAATGAAAAGAAAGAAAACATGGTCACTAAATAGCA